GTGTAATATGCGATAAAAGTTCTAACCTCTTGTGTAATAGTAATTATTATAAGCTTCTTTCCATTATAACATTTATACTTGGGGGTGTATTTATAACAGTCTTAAAATAATGGCTTCTTGTTTAGATGAACATTAATTATCGTTATATTTAGAGATGAGCGAATTATTCAAAAATTCGATTCGGCTGATTCGCCGAATTTGAGGAAGAAATTCGATTCGATGCGAATTTATTCGCTACGAATTTAACTTATAAAAAGGGTTTCTAGGCTTCAGAGAGCCTTTAAATTAGTGCAGAACACTGTACCTTTAATTTAAATGCCCTTGGAGATGAGGAAGGAGAAGGAGAAGGATGAGAAGAAGGAGAAGGAGAAGGATGAGAAGAAAGAGAAGGATGAGAAGAAGGAGAAGGAGAAGGAGAAGGATGAGAAGAAGGAGAAGGATGAGAAGAAGGAGAAGGAGAAGGATGAGAAGAAGGAAGAAGGAGAAGGATGAGAAGAAGGAGAAGGAGAAGGATGAGAAGAAGGAGAAGATGAGAAGAAGGAGAAGGAGAAGGATGAGAAGAAGGAGAAGGATGAGAAGAAGGATGAGAAGAAGGAGAAGGATGAGAAGAAGGATGAGAAGAAGGAGAAGGATGAGAAGAAGAAGGATGAGAAGAAGAAGAAGGATGAGAAGAAGGAGAAGGATGAGAAGAAGAAGAAGGATGAGAAGAAGAAGAAGGATGAGAAGAAGGAGAAGGATGATGAGAAGAAGAAGAAGGATGAGAAGAAGAAGAAGATGAGAGAAGGAGAAGGAAGATGATGAGAAGAAGAAGAAGGATGAGAAGAAGGAGAAGGATGAGAAGAAGAAGAAGGATGAGAAGAAGAAGAAGGATGAGAAGAAGGAGAAGGATGAGAAGAAGAAGAAGGATGAGAAGAAGAAGAAGGATGAGAAGAAGGAGAATTCCAAGCCGGCAAAAAGTGTATCTGCAGAGCTCCGCTATTTCTTAGCGGAGCTCTGCAGATACACTTAGCGGAGCTCTGCAGATACACTTAGCGGAGCTCTGCAGATACACTTTTTGCCGGCTTGGAATTCTTCTTATTTTCATCCTACTTCTTCTTCTTCTTCATCCTCATCCTCATCCTCAGAAGAAGAAGAAGAGGATGAGGATGAGGATGAAGAAGAAGAAGAAGAAGAAGGATGAAAATAAGAAGAATTCCAAGCCGGCAAAAAGTGTATCTGCAGAGCTCCTCTATTCTGCAGATACACTTAGAGGAGCTCTGCAGATACACTTTTTGCCGGCTTGGAATTCTTCTTATTTTCATCCTACTTCTTCTTCTTCTTCTTCATCCTCATCCTCATAAGAAGAAGAAGAGGATGAGGATGAGGATGAAGAAGAAGAAGAAGAAGAAGTAGGATGAAAATAAGAAGAATTCCAAGCCGGCAAAAAGTGTATCTGCAGAGCTCCGCTAAGCGTATCTGCAGAGCTACGCTATTTCTGACAGTTCTCTGACATTCACTCCATACAGCGGTTGAAACATTGTATCTATTTGTTTCCATAAATGGAAACAAATAGATACAATAGTTATATTAACAGTCATTTTAACACTAATTTAAGTGCCATTAGTTAAATTAGTTATATTAACAGTCATTTTAACACTAATTTAAGTGCCAAAATTATAAGTAGTACAATCAAAGACACAATAGAGGAAGACCCGCATTAAAAAAAAAAAAGAATTTACCTGTTGTAACCATGTTGTATCATTTTTTAATCCTGATTTTATTCTAAGAGAAGTTTAGAGCTGTCTTTTATGGATGAGGTTAGGGTTTTGTCCAAGCAAAAGTTTGGGATGAGCCTTGGCGGTTCGGGCATTTAGACAAACACCCAAACATTTACCTGTTTGGTGGGAGTCAAATGTCGTGTATAATAACAGTATTACTTTCTCTAATATAGTTTCTTACTGTCAATGGTTTAACCACTTGCCTACCAGGCACTTATACCCCCTTATTTACCACCAATTTTCAGCTTTCAGCACTGCCGCACTTTGATTGACAATTGCGCGGTCATGCAACATTGTACCCATATGAAATTTTGATCATTTTTTTCTCACAAATAGAGCTTTCTTTTGGTGGTATTTAATCGCCACTGGGCGCTTTACTTTTTGCGCTATAAATAAAAAAAGTGCAAAAAATTTGAAAAAATTTTGTTTCTATTATAAAATTTTTCAAACAGGTATTTTTTATCCTTCACTGATGTGAGTTGATGAGGCAGCACTGATGGGCACTGATAGGCGGCACTGATGGGCACTGATAGGCAGCACTGATGGGCACTGATAGGCAGCACTAAAGGGCACTGATAGGCAGTACTAATGAGGTGGCACGGATAGGCGGCACTGATAGACAGCACTAATGAGGTGTCACGGATAGGCAGCACTAATATGCAGCACTGATAGGTGGCACTGATAGGTGACACTGATGATGGGTACTGATAGACGGCACTGACTGGCATCACTGCTGGGCACTGACTGGCAGCACTGACTGGCACAACCCCTGGGCACTGACTGGCGACACTGACTGGCAGCACTGCTGGGCTGCACTGGTGGGCAGCACTGGTGGGTGGGCACAGGTGGGTGGCACTGCTAGGCACAAGTAGGTGGCACTTCTGGGCACAGGTAGGTGGCACTGCAGAGTGGCACAGGTGGGTGCACTGCTGGGCACAGGTGGGTGCACTGCTGGACACAGGTGGGTGATCTGCTGGGCACAGGTGGGCGGAGCTAGTGGGCGCACTGCTGGGCACAGGTGGGCGGAACTTGTGGGTGGCACTGCTGGGCACCGATCATCAGGGCACTGATCATCAGTGCCCTGATGATCGGTGCCAATCCCCGCTCTGACAACTGCCGGTTCTCGGCAGTACTTTCCTCGCTATCTGACAGCGTGAGGAAAGTGCAACCGAGAACCGGCACTTGCATTTCCCTCTGATCAGCGTGTCATTGGACGCCGCTGATCAGGTGGTAAAAGGCCGCTGTGATTGGCCTTTTACCACATCACGTGATCAGCTGTGTCCATAGGACGCAGCAATCACAGAGATCGCCGGGTGCGCGACCCCTGGGGTGCGCAGGAGAGCGCGTTCTGGGAGGACGTCATATGACGTCCACTCAGAACTGGCCGGCCGCAGTTTAGCCGCCATTCGGCTATCTGCGGTCGGCAGCTAGTTAATAAAGATGCTGGTGGATACAGGCACCCTTAAGTCCTTAACAACCAGTGATGTTTCTGTCCCTATACACTTATATGTCAGGGAATCCCCAGCTGGGTCTGGTATGAATATTAAGGGAGACCCTAGGCAAGCCCCCCCAAAAAAACAGTGTAAGGTCCTTCCCAAATTACAAACATAGAGACAAGAATAACTTGAGGTCCCCTTAAAAATCAAGCATGCAGCCTGGCAGGCCAGGAAAGACAGGGGGGTGCACCACCCTCCTCCTGAACCATACCAGGCCACATGCCCTCATCATGGAAGAGTACCAACCAAGTGAAACATACAGGTATGTGTTTTTTTGTGTGTGGGGACCCTCACTTGAGTGATATTAAACTACTACTTTAACTGATAATTGCCCAGTCATGCAACAATGTACACAAATGAAATTTTTAGCATTTTTTCCACACAAATATAGCTTTCTTTTGGTCTTATCTAATCACAATTGTGTTTTTAATTTTTTTGTTATATAAATGAAAAAATAACAAAACTTTTGAAAAATAAGTTTTTCTTAGTTTCTGTTATACAATATTGTAAACAAATAATCTTTCTTCATAAATTTAGGCCAAAATGTAGTCTGCTACATTTCTTTGGTAAAAAAAACCCCCAATCAGTGCATATTATTTAGTCTGTGTGAAAATTTTAGAGTCTGCAAACTATGGTACCGTATTTTCCGGCATATAAGACGACTGGGCGTATAAGACGACCCCCTACTTTTCCTGCTAAAATATAGGGTTTGAGCTATACTCGCTGTATAAGACTACCCCTCTTCCAACGCACACCAAATAAAAATGAAAAAAACATCAGATTTGATTTCAATATGGTATGCTATTTCAGTATGGTATTCCAATGATGGGGTGCTATTCCTCCCACTGACACCAATGATGAGGCACTACTCCTCCCACTGACACCAATGACGGGGCACTATTTCATCCACTGACACCAATGATGGTGCCCCATCATTAGTGTCAGTGTGTGAGGAATAGTGCCCCATCATTAGTCAGTGGGAGGAATAGTGCCCCATCATTGGTGTCAGTGGGAAGAATCATGCCCCATCATTGGTGTCAGTGGGAGGAATAGTGTCCCATCATTAGTGTCAGTGGGAGGAATAGTGTCCCATCATTGGTGTCAGTGGGAGGAATAGTGCTCCATCATTGGTGTCAGTGGGAGGAATAGTGGCCCATCATTGGTATCAGTGGGAGGAATAGCACCCCATCATTGGTATCAGTGGGAGGAATAGCACCCCATCATTGGTGTCAGTGGAGGAATAGCACCCCATCATTGGTGTCAGTGGGAGGAATAGCGCCCCATCATTGGTACCAGTGGCAGGAATTGCGCCCCATCATTGGTTTCAGTGGCAGGAATAGCGCCCCATCATTGGTATCAGTGGCAGGAATTGCGCCCCATCATTGGTGTCAGTGGGAGGAATTGCGCCCCATCATTGGTGTCAGTGGGAGGAATTGCGCCCCATCATTGGTATCAGTGGGGAGAATAGTGCCCCATCGTTGGTGTCAGTGGGGAGAATAGTGCCCCATCGTTGGTGTCAGTGGGGGAGGAATAGTGCCCTATCATTGGTATCAGTGGGGAGAATAGTGCCCCATCATTGGTATCAGTGGGGAGAATAGTGCCCCATCGTTGGTATCAGTGGGAGGAATAGTGCCCCATCGTTGGTGTCAGTGGGGGAGGAATAGTGCCCCATCGTTGGTATCAGTGGGGAGAATAGTGCCCCTTCGTTGGTATCAGTGGGGAGAATAGTGCCCCATCATTGGTGTCAGTGGGAGGAATAGTGCCCCATCATTGGTGTCAGTGGGGAGGAGGAATAGTGCCCCATCATTGGTATCAGTGGGGAGAACAGTGCCTCATCGTTGGTGTCAGTGTGGAGGAGGAATAGTGCCCCATCGTTAGTGTCAGTGGGGGAGAGGAGCGGCTGCTCCTTCTTCCAGTTCGGCCTCTCGATTTTTGCGGGGCCGCTCGGCTCCGCCTCCTCGCCGGTGATTGGTCGCCTGTGTGCCTTTCCAGTGCTGGCGCACAATCACCGGTGAGGAAGCGGAGCCGAGTGGCTGCGTGACCATCGAGCGGCCGAACTGAAAGAAGGAGCAGCCGCGCTTCCTGGACCGGATCGTTGTGGCACCGGAGCCAGGTAAGGTACAGCAGCCCCTCTGCCCACTCCTGTACTTAGTGTCCGTTGGAGGAGGAGGGGGGGGGCGGCGCAGCGCCGCCCCTCGAAAAAGTGCCGCCCTGACACCGGCTCGCACCGGCGTATAAGACGACCCCCAACTTTTCAGAAGATTTTCAGGGGTTGAAAAGTCGTCTTATACGCCGGAAAATACGGTATATATATTTGAAAATGGATTAGTCCTGATGCATTAACATTTGAGTCCCTTACAATGCCAATACAGTACAAATAGCCCCCGAATGGTCCCTTTTTGGAAAGCAGACAGTCCAAGGTATTTAGTAAGAGGTAAGGTGAGTGTTTCATTTTTCAAGTTTTCATTTTTTCGTCACAATTTTGTTGAAAATGAAGAAATATAAAATACAGTGCAGTACAGTGTAATCATATGACTGGTGTGGTGGTGATCAGGGATAGTGACTGGTGACAGTATGTAAAAAAAAAAAAGAAATTTTTTTTTTTTTACTATTTTTTATATACTGTCATCAGAGTAGTTCAGTGCCATTCTGGAAGGATGATCAGGGAATTGTTTTTACACTGTTATTATTAATAACAGTAATAATCACTATTCTAAGCAATAGTTAACTCTCATGGATGGCATTTCATTCATGACAGCTTGGTTACTGTTGACACCCAGTGATTGGCTACAGCTAATCACATGATACAGGGTGTCAGGTACCATGTGATAGCTGTGGGCCAATCACAGCTTCACAACAGTAATCAGTCATGAATGTAAGCCATTCATGACTGTTTTGTTTACATTGTCGTCTTGTGATCGCTATGATTGGTCATAGTAATCACATAATACCCTGGACACAATGGACTGCCCCCTGCTCCTCCTCTCTCCCCATTGTGACAGCTAATGGGGGATCTTCTCTGCCCACCCGGCCGCATCATTCATTTACAGTATTCTGTGAAAGAGAAATACTACAAGTTCCGACAGCCTTGGCGGCTGTCGGCTTGTTGTTCGCAATGAACTACCACAGCGCTGTGGAACATTGTGGTATTGCATTGAGTCTTCCTGTCAGTAAGTATCTGCCTACCTTTACAGGATGTACAAGCACACAGATCCACTGACAGGTCTGCAGGGGACCTGCATAGCACTAGCAATCTGCTGATCATAGGTACAATGCTTTAGAGCAGGGGGGGGCAAACTAGAAGCCCTCCAGCTGTTGCAAAACTACAAGTCCCGTCATGCCTCTGCCTTTGGGAGTCATGCTTGTAACTGTCAATCTTGCAATGCCTCATGGGACCTGTAGTTTGGCAACAGCTGGAGGGCTGCCAGTTTTACACCTGTGCTTTAGAGGCTCAAGAAACAAAAAATAATAAATGCACAGTTTTTTACCTGCAAAAAAAATGTGTATTTATTATTTTATGTTAAAAGCTTAACTTATGCTTTAACCGCTTCCTGACCATCCTGTAGCAGATATACTGCTACAGGGCAGCACGTGTGCGCAAAATCACGTATATATACGTCATTCTGCATTTCCAGGTAGGGGGTGCGTGCCCTACCCACGCCGCTATTCCCGGCCACGGCTGTCAGTCACTGGGTCCCAGCCGGTGATTACTCACTGGTGCCCGGTGATTGACAATCATCTCCGACTGGCAGGAGAAACTGTTTGTAAACAAAACAGTTCTCCTCCCTGTCAGCTCATGCACGCTGCACAGCACAGCCTTCCAAAGCAGTGTGCTTACAGTGAAGCACACGGACACAGCAAAGAGTAAAACAGCACACAGCACACAGTTAACCCTTTGATCGCCCCTCATTTTAACCCCTTCCTGCTCAGTGCCATTAGTACAGTGTCAGTGCTTCTTTTTAGCACTGATCACTGTATTAGTGTCACTGGGGATGTCAATGACACCAAGTCAGTTGCCCCCAGTGTCAGAATGCCCACCGCAGTCCTGCTATAAGTCGCTGATCACCACCATTACTACTAAAGTTTTTTAAAAATGTAAAATTCCAGTATCTATACCGCCATTTCACATGCACCAATTAATTTACACGTATTGGGATTTTTTTTTTTAGCAAAGACATGTAGCAGAGTACATGTTGGCCTAAATTTATGATAAAATTTGATTTTTTTAATTTTTTTACTGGACATGTTAATAGCAAAAAGTCAAAAAATATTGCTTTGTTCTCAAAATTGTTGGTGTTGTTTTTTTTTATAGCGCAAAAAATAAAAAATGCACAGGCGATCAAATACAACAGGAAGAAAGCTCAATCAGTGGGGAAAAAATACATAATTACATAAATTTCATTTGGTTGCAGTGTTGCAGGACCGCGCAATCGTCAGTGAAAGTAATGCAAAAAATGGTCTGGTCAGGAAGGGGGGGTAAATCCCCAGGAGGGCAAGTGGTTAAAAGAGAAGTACAGCCAAAGTTTTTTTTGGCTTTACTTCTCTTCTGGGTCACAGGAATGCATTTACTTTTACTCTCATGTGACCAAGAATCAGCTGATAGTGAGCTATTGCCCAATAAGCTTACATCAGAGCCACATCAGGTTCTGCAAAGATCATGATCATATTGTCGAGATCCACACAACTGTGAGCTGAGAGCAAAGAGCAAAGCAGAGAGCGGAGACTGACAATCACTGCTCTCCACTCCAAGCTGACTGAGAACTGAGGCATCAGCGATCATGTGATGGCTCAGTTCACTGTCTTAGAGCTGATGTGGGATAGCTGCACCATTACATCGATACTGCAGAATAGAGGTCAGTATGAAGGTTTGTTTTTTATGTACCCCAAACATCTTTAAGGTGAGAAAAAAAATCTTTTCTGTTTACAGGTTTATCATTTAGGGTCAAAAATGGCCTCTTGCAATTGAAAGGATGTAGTACTAATGGTGACACTGTGGGATTTTATTTTTTTTGTTTTAGTATTGTCAAATAAGTAGCATGTGAGAATTTTGAATTGCTGCACATCAGCGGTTTATCTTTGTGGAAGTGCATTTCTATAGTTGATGGAAGCTGCCTTCTTCCAGAGTACCAAACACTTTTGCAGGCTGTTTCGTCCTTGTTCAGGGAAATAATTCTAAATGCAATAGTATTTTATGACTGATATTTGTAAATACCTCTACAGTCACTAAGATGAAAGAGGAAAGGAAAAAGAGACATGGCCCCTTAATCAAGGAGAGAAGTAGTTTCATTAAAATGTATAAACATTGTGTTTTGCAAGAGGACATGACCATAAACAGTATACAACAAAAATCAACTATATAGATCATAAACAATAATAAACAGTAACATATAAGAGAACAAATACTAGATGTGTGTGATTCGTTTCATTACAAATTGAAATTTGGACAACAATTTCGTTATTCTGAGATTTGGTTGTATCCCAGTCTCTGATTTACAGTAGCAAAAAAATTTCAATGAATCCAAAAGAAATTATAATGAAAACAATGAATTCATTCGTATTCACTTGTTTCATTATTCAGATGGCATGATGTGATAGTTTGGGCTGTAACCAGTGGTGTATTTAGATTTTGTGCTGGGCAACACAAAAAGTTTGCCCCCCCCCCAATGAGAGAGCGAGAGAGTTCAATAAGTGTGTGTATGCATATATGATTATCTCTCTCTCCCCTTTCTCTCTCCCCTCTTTCTCTCCTCTCTCTTTCTCTCTTCCCTCTTTCTTTTACCTCTCTCTCTCTCTTTTTTCCCTCTCTCTCTCTTCCCTCCCCCCCTCTCTCTCCCCCCTCTCTCTCTTCCTTCTCTATCTTTCCTCTCTTTCTTCTCCCTCTCTCTCTTCCCTCTCTCTTCCTCTTCCTCTCTCTCTTTTCCCTCTCTCTAACTCTTCCTTCTCTCTCTTTCCTCCCCCCCTCCCTCTTCCTTCTCTCTCTATCTGCCCTCTCTATCTTCCCTCTCTCTTCCTTCTCTCTCTTCCCTCTCTCCTCTCTTCCCTCTCTCTTCCTTCTCTCTCTCTCCCCTCTTTCTCTTCCCTCTCTCTCTTCCCTTCTCTCATCCCCTCGTTCTCTCTTCCCCCTCTCTCTCTTCACTCCCTCTCTTCCCTTCTCTCTCCTCCTCTTTCTCTCTTCCCCCTCTCTCTCTTCCCTCTCTTTCTCCCCCCCCTCTCTCTCCCCTCTCTTCCTTCTCTCATTTCCCCTCTGTCTCTTCCCCCCTCTCATTTCTGTCTCTCTCCCCCCTCTCTTCCCTCTTTGTCCATCTCTCTCTTCCCTCTATCTCTCTCTTCCTTCTCTCTCTCTTCCCCCTCTCTCTCTTCCCCCCTCTCTCTCCCCTCTCTGTTCTCTTTCTCCCTCTCCCCTCTCTCTTATTCTCCCCCCTCTCTCTCTCTCTCTCTCTCTCTCTCTCTCTCTCTTTCTCAGATCATATAGGACTGCACACATGTGAGATGGGGAAACAGCTCTCATTGTTTGAATACTGCTTGTGTGTAGTAAATTAAATGTTTTGACTGACATTCTGCAGTTTAGCCACAAGATGTCACTGTTTTTCTAACACAGCCTCAGACTGCATAGATATTTCTATATTCATGAAGAGATGGAGTTTTCACACAGAGTTGAGAGAGAACAGGAAGAAGAGAGAGCAGCCATGTTCTGGAGAATGGTGAATGAGGGGGGCCGTGTGAGCTGAGAATCTGATGACATCCAGGTGTGAGAGCATCCCTCTGTAACCAGTGCTGCAGCTAAGTGAAGCTGATGAGATTGCTGCCAGGAAGCTGATGAGATTGCTGCCAGGAATGCTGATGAGATTGCTGCCAGGAATGCTGATGAGAGCAGAGGAACTAAGCAACATATACGGCGAGACTGCATGCTTGTTGGAGAGACATTTGTTCTGTTCAGAGTCACCAGCGGATGCAAAGCAGACCCGGGTCGGTAAGATCGTGCACGCACCTCATTTCAGTGTTGGCGCCTTGAGACTGAGTCCAGGCCTATAGTTAGTTAGTTAGGGTCTCTGTGTCA